CGCGAGAATGTCTGTCAGCATGAGCAGTCCATGAGAAGCGAAGGTTTCAAATTGAGATTAACTTCAGCGGATGCGACTGACCAAGGGGGCATCTCCTCGGGCGTCGGCATCGCGGTCCGCCAGCACATCGGAATTGGCGAACCGCCACAGGTACACAGACATCTCCTCCACTCGCGTTGCTCGATCGTGTGGGTGAACGGGTGCGTGAAGGGGGGCTTCTATGTCGTCAGTGTGTACATTCCAGATGGCGAGGGAGTTGCAGGAGCTAAAGGGCAGCAAATCATGAACCAGTTGGGAGAATTCTTGTTTGGGGCCCAGAAGCCCTTCGTCATCTGGGGATGTCAACAGTTTACCTTCGGAAGTTCAGAGTCTTCGGAGCGTTCAGAAGATGAGGGGTGTTGTGGTGAGTTGTAACATGCCGACTTGTCGTGTGGGCAAAGCTTGGCGTGAGCTAGATTTCTTCGTGGTCTCTCATGAGCTCGTCGGCGTCGTCAGATCGTGCGAACGTCTATCGGACTCGGCGAATAAGACTAATTTCCCTGTCCGGCTGTCTCTGGGAACCGATGCGCACTTGCAGCTTAAGTCGCGCGTCACGGTGCCCATGCCTTTTCCGACAGAGAGGCCGATAGGACCAGTCCCACTGCCGCAGGACTGGTCAGATATCAGCAGTTCGTTCGAGGCGCTCGACGAGGCGCCGACGGCAGAAGGTTTCAAGAATTTCTATGGGCAGCTATGCGATCGCATGGAGGCCGAGCTCTGCGACACTCTGAGCATTCCAGTCTCGGATCGACCTAAGTACTGTGGGAGGAGTCGGGGCTTTCGGGTGGTTGGAAAGCCGACTCTGGAATACGTCAAGGGGCCGTTTCCGAAATGCTCGAAGCAGACGAGGAGTATGAGGAGATATCAGGTTTGGCTGGAGGAGTTGAGTTACCTGGTGAGCAAGGGGCATTCTTGGGAGTCCAAGGGTGTTCGCGACTTACTCTGGAGGCTTAACTGGTCGAACCCGAGTGTGGCAGATGTTCCAGGCTGGAAGCAGTTTCGCTCTTCTCTGCAGCTGACCGCGGACGTCGGCTTGGACGGCATCTCCGCGGGGCTGCACGCGTTGCGCAGCTTGGCGGATCAGGAGGAGGCGGAGTTCAGGAGCAAGAGGACCAAGGAGTGGAGGAGCTGGGTATCCCAATCTTTGGAGTCTGGAGGGGGTGCGGTCTACAAGTGGACCAAGGAGCCTCAAGGATGGGCCCCTGACGCTGTGGGGCCAGCTGGAGCCCCTGCGGGGCCAGTGGACACTGTCGAGCAGTTGCTTAGGGAATGGCGTGAGATCTGGCACGAGGGCGAACCTTCTCGGCTTCTGGCTTCTGACCTGGACCTACCCTTGGGCGAACCTCCCCCTCCACCAACAGCCGAACAGCTTCGCGAGGTTCTCAAGAGGTTCAAAAAGGGCACGGCGGTCGGCATTGACGGTTGGAACCCTTGTGTTTTGAAGATGTTGAGCGACAAGGCTTTGACGGCCTACGGGCTGTTCCTCGGCCTTATGAGCACCTACTGATACCTGAACAATGATGTTTCTTTGGTGGTTTTTCTTCGGAAGCCAGACGGAGGTCGTCGACCCATAGGAGCGTTGGAAACATGCATCCGCATCCTGGGCCGACTCAGACGAGATCAGGCCAACCAATGGGAGCGGAATCATGCCCTGAGCTGTGCGTACGGCGGCAAGGGCAAGAGTTGCGAGCGCGCCGTGTGGCAGCAGGCGGCGCGTGCCGAAGCTGCAGAATCTATCGCGGCTAGCTCGGGGTCAGCGCTGATAGATCTAGAGAAGTGCTATGAGAAGATCCCCCACGATGTTCTTTGGAGGTCCTGCCAGAAGCACAGTTTCGACTTAAGGACGGGTTCGGCTTTTGTTGATGGTGCACGGGGGGCGGAGGATGATCAAGGTGAGGGAGGTCGCCTCGTCGGTTATCAGGTTGAATCGCTCGATCATCGCGGGCTGTTCGTTTGCGACGACGTTACTGCGCGTTGTGATGTACGATTCTTTAGTGTACATGCGTGATCGATGGCCGAGCGTACACCTGCATGCCATGGTAGACGACATAACACTAGAAGCAATCGGTTCGGCACGTTTCGTTCGACAAACGCTAGCTGCTGCGGTCCCCGACGCGTGCAAGCAGCTACAGCAGCTGGAGCAAGTGGTTGCGCGCAAGAAATGCCAGGTGCTTTCTTCTACCAAGGAGTTAGCGGCGCAGCTAGGCAAATATCTGCGTGCGTACAGTTTCAAGGTATGTGCCAGCGTCAAGAACCTAGGGCATGACTTCGGGTTGCAGGCTCGTGCAGATAAACCAATGCAGAAGTCCAGGATCAGCAAACTCAGGAGGCGCGCACATCGATTTCGGGCCCTCAAGCATCATCGTAGAGGGCTAACACGAGTTTACCGTGCAGGAGGTCTAGCCTCGGCCACGTACGGAGTGCGGGTCATGGGCATGCCAGATAGTGAGTTGCAGAAGTTGAGGGCGGTCTCGGCCTTCGCGCTCTTCGGCAAGGCCAAGGGCCGCTCGCGCGCCGTGCAGTTTTTGTTGTTGGACCCTCCAGATGCCGATCCGTCCTTCCAGGTGAACTCGCTCCCGCTGCTCACTTGGTTGTTGGCGCTGCACCAGGAATCGGTTCCCACAAACATGATGGAAAAACATATTCCAGGGGGCCTTAACACGGGCCCAGCAGGGCTGGGGATATGTGCGAGGCCCTGCAAGGGCCGTCGTCCAAACCCTCAGGCGTCTCGGGTGGACGGCAAGGTCGCATCACATGTGGATTGACCCCCGCGGGCTCCAAGTTGACCTCCTTCAAACTGGAATCCCCACCCTCAAAGCAGTTATCTATATGGGTATCAAGCGGCAGCTCGAGCAGGCGGCCGCCAAGCACCTCGGTTGGGAGGGCTCTGCGTTCCTGGACCCTGTGAAAGCAGAGCTCAGGCAGCTTCGGGGACGTGGACCCCCGGCTCAGGCTGATCTGGTGGCCATTCATATGGCTGGGGGCCTCTGGACTCAGGATAAGATTTTCAAGTATAGGTACAGTATCGCTCGTGAATGCAGGTGGTGCTTGGGCGCTCCAGGTACCATATCGCACCGTCTGTACAGGTGCGACGGTCTTGCTGGCTGGAGGCGCGAGCAGGGTTTCAACGAGCTGATTTCCATAGGCAGAGATTTCCCCGACAACCAGATGGTTGACTCCGGCTGCTTGGATAGCAAGCGAGATGATCTTTCCCCTCCGTTGCAGGTCGGTGAGAGCCAAACGAGTTGGTACCCTCGGGGAGGACATCTAGGGGGACCTATTTTTATTGATGGGTCTGGGTTAAATCCTGATATTGATTGGATGTCGAGGGCGGGGTGGTCGGCATGCTCTCTCAGACCAGGCACGGAGGAGGTCCAAGCAGTTGCTTACGGCCCCGTTCCAGGCTTGGTCCAGTCCTCAGGACTTGCCGAGCACTACGCGTTCCTGATGGCCCTGACCCTCATGCCAGCCAGAGCCACGATCGTGACAGATCACAAGAACTTGCTGCTGGCCCTCGAGAAGGGCCCAGAGGTTAAGCGTTGCCCTACTCAGCCACATTGGGAGATCTGGAGGCAGATTTTCTGGAAAATCGATGACATCAGGAGAGAAAACGTCGAGCTGGTTCGGATGCCTTCCCATCGGTCCAGGTCCTGGTATAGGATCCATGGGTATTCTGATGAGTGGTTTCCTGGGAATGCCGCGGCTGACAAATATGCTAGGCTTGGCGCTATGGGGCACCCTTCAGTGGCCCACGTAGATCAGCGTGTTGCAGCAGCCATGCATGTAGGCAGTCAGTTTGTTCGGATGCTCGGAGGTACTTTGAGCAACCTAAGCCAGAGAGGTTTTCCTGATGTTGATAGAATTCCCTAGAAGAGTAAATACAAGCCTGTAGCTCTTGGGGCGGCCCAACCTGTGGTCACCCTCAAGATAGACAGGTCGGATAATAATCACCTCCTCCACCTCACAGAAGGGGTCTGGGGCTGTACAATGTGCGGCAGAGCCTCCGTGAAGAGAAGCATTGTCGTGCAGGACCCCTGTCCAGGCAAGCCGCGTGTCCTGGCCAGGTGTCACGACACCCACAGAATGTGGAGTGTCAATGCTGAACTGTTCTTTTGTATGGCCTGTGGTTGCCACGCGCGGAGGCAGGTCAAGGACTTGGCCCTGCGATGCAACCAAGGGCCAACCAGTGGTGCGGAGCGCTCACTCAAGTTGCTGCGCAAAGGTGTGGACCCAACCAGCAAGAAGGAGGTTGGGGTGCTATTCCCCGCCCACTAATTCAAATGGTCTGTGCGTGTCTTGCGCTGCGGGACACGCGCTCCGAGGCTCCAGAGGCTCCAGAGGAGGAGGAGGAGGAGGAGGAGGAGGAGGAGGAGGAGGAGGAGCAGGAGGAGGGCGAGAAGAAGGACGAGGGGCATTTTGGGGAGGAGGGAAGGGGGAAGGGGATGGACAGGCTCCGTCGCAGGGGCCAATCCATCCCTCTCATGAGAAATACCCCCACCAGATCGGGTCGGGCGAAAGTGGAGATAGGAAAGGGGGGAGTTTGAGAATCAGCTCGCGCAACTGATTTTCCCGGCGCCTCCCGGCGCCGGAGGCGGCCATGTATCGAGGAATGGGCCCCTCGGTGGGGCCGAAACCAGCTGCATGCAGCAAATTTCGTAACCCCCCCTTTCCCAATCCCCCCCTTCGTCCGGCCCGACCAGAGTACGAAGCCACCCGGGAGGAATCGATCCCTGGGCGCACGCCCCCGGCCGACCCACGAGGGCCGAGAGCCGGGGCGCCGGACGCCCGCAGGCTGTGAATAGGTCCGCGGAGCGGGGCGCCGGCTCGAGGCGCGGAGCCCGCGCCAGCTCGGAGGACTCGAGTTTTTGCGTCGGCGAGGAGGAGGAGAAGGAGGAGGAGGAGGAGAAGGAGGAGGAGGAGGGGGAGGGGGAGGAGTGGGAGGAGGAGGAGAGGAGGAGGAGGAGGAGAGGAGGAGGAGGAGGAGGAGGAGGCGCGAGGAGGAGGAGGAGGAGGAGGAGCCGCACGCGCGACACGCACGTTCTGCGTCGGCCGCTGGGCAGAGGTTGCTGCTCCGGCGGTCCGGGCAGCAGTGGGGCGCGGCAGGTGCAGACATCGGGCCGCGGTGCGCGGGGGAGGAAGACGAAGGCGCCCAGCGCCCGGCGGGAAGAGAGGAAGCCAGGCCCGCTCGGCCAGGTCTCGGCGGCGGCGGGGCGGGCGCTGCAAGGGGGGGGACCCGCCGGCGGCGCCAGAGGCAGCTGCTGGGAGGAAGGCAGCCCGAAGGCGGCCGGGCAGAGCCCAGGGAGGGGGGGGGGGAACAGCCACACATACACACAGGGATGATTCAGAAACCTTCGGCCTGAGAGGACAGGCTCTGCAGGTCTCGTTCTCTCGCCTGCGGCGAAGGCAACGGACACGAGGCCATGGGATGAGACATCCGGGGTCTGGAAGCCAGTGGATAGCCCAATTCTGGATTGGCCATGCATATCACCACCGCCCTCATTGGACAAGGCATCCTCCAGGGACTGAAGCCTCGGGGGCACATTCCTCAACGAAGGCCCCCAACCGTGGTGGTCCAGGTGGGGAAATCATACGAACAGGTGTGACTACGAACATCTAGGAAGCACAACACATGTGTGTCGTCGGTGCCGCCCTCTATCGTACACCCTGGAATCCACATGTTCTGCACACAAAGAAATACATGATCTAGAACTAATTAAAGATAGAACTCAGACCATGATCTGGGCTTCATGCGCGACGCACAACATTTTTCAATGCTCGCTTGCCAAGAAGCGCAGGATAAGTGAGCCCCATGCGCGGTGTAGCGACTGCGCGGCGGCCACTCCTCCGACGCACCCCGACACTTGAAGGCATCCCATGCGCGCGACGGCGTCGAAGAAACGGCCAGCAAGCGCCCAGGAGACTGTGACGAAGCTCCACGACGCCCACAGGGCCTCACTCCGTCTGGGGGTCGGCGGACTGGCGCAGACCTCCTGAACAAATCTCAAGGACGCAATCTTGCCCAGCATCCACGGCGAGAAAGAAGAGGTGACCGCTGCGGACATGCAGCCGCGGACGCACCGGGAGTTCGGCGGCAGCCGGTTTCCGTCCGGCGAGGCGTGTGGCGTCCGACGCGGTGGGCCCCGACTTCTGGTGGGACCCGCACGCGCCGTCGAGGGCTCCGGCCGCAGTCGCCTCGGACGGCCCTCTGCGGCCAGAGCTGTGGCCGGACAGATCTGATCGGCGCGCGCCTTGGGTCCAAGCTGCAGTCGTAGCTTCGGCGGGGCTGCTGCGGGGCGAACCGCACACCAGGGCGGCAGGGAAGGGAGAGGGCTTCGGGATGTGCCAGAGGCAGGCTCGGGTCCTTGGCAATGTCAGTGCGTCTGCAGAGGCATGACACGCACATCTTAGGAAGCGAGTCATGCAGAGGTCAGGTGGGAGCCAGTGGCAAGAGCGCAAAGCAGTTATGGCCAGACCCCAAATGACAGAATTGCGCACCCCAGCTGCGGAGCCGCAACGGTCCAGAGCTCCTCGACCTGGTCGGTCCAGACCTGGTCGGTCCATTGTCGGAGAGAAACTCACGGCGGTGAAATCTAACCTGACAGCCCATCATTCCAGCAGCAGGCCCTTCCCTCCCCCTGCCCTGGGGTCGACGGCAGAGGCCAGGGCCCCAAGCAGAGCACGGCGATAGCTTCTTCTTCGCACCTCGGAGGAACAAGTGGCAAGCTGACGACCGCCTGGTTCAAAGACAGGCCCCCAGGGCGATCCAATGAGTTCGCAAGACGGCTCCAGGATGGCCCCAGAGGGCCCCCTGAGGGCTCACGACGTCTTCAGAGGGCCTCCAGAAAGCCCAAGAGGGACTCCAGAGGGCGCCACGATGGCGCAAGGGGCCCCACGGAGAGCCGCAAGACGGCCCAAGATGGCATGAGGACGGCCCCAAGACGCCCCCAATACGGCCCCAGTGTGCCCCAGCACGTGCCGTGACGACTTGCGTGCCGGCTTCATGCACCACGTGAATCGCTCAGCCTTGATCGAGGGCGTCATTCTGACAGCGCGGATTGTTCGATGTCTGTCGATGTTTTGGTGGCGGCGTTCGGCCTTACACGCCCGCGCAAGAGGTCGCCGCAGCGTCGACACGACACGAACCTAACGTAACGAAGTGGAAAGCTGGCAGTGTGAGCCAAGATCGCATGTGCCGTGCAGCGGCGCGAGCGTGCGCCCGAACAACGGATCCACGCGCTGACCGTCCAGCAGATATGCAGTCGGGGCGTTGACCGTAAGGAACCCTAAGTAAGGAACGAGGCCCCTTTTTCCTATTAGATAAACTTCGATTTCCCATGGAAGCCCTAGGGACAACCCAAGGGAAACTGTAGAACAATCAAGGAACGCCGAGCCCCTCCCCAACGAAAAGGGTTCCTTCTTGAGCGCCCCGACTGTACGCAAGCTGAAATGCTTGGGAAGACGCCAGCGTCCAATGCTGGCCGTAAGGTCTGACAAGGCACGAACCTCGACTACGCGCAAGAGTGACCCTGGATAAAGGGTGACCTTTGGGTGCGCAGCTGTTTTGAAAGCCGCGGGGGGCCAACCACAGACGTTACCATCGCATCGCGTTCGGCGATCGGGGGACCCCAGGGGGCCCCCATCACAAGCCACTCTGGCGTAGTCAGAAACCACGGCCGCCCGCCAGCAAGGTTGTCGAAGATGCCCGTGCCAGAACCGCGCGCTCGAAAGCGATTCTGCAAGCGATCGTCGAGCACCGGCCGATGCTATGACGGAAACAGCCTCACGGCTTCCTGTTCTTCTTTGAACGATGGGCGGACGCTTGGCGGGGCGTCACATGCAGGGTGCAGTCGTAGGGGGGCTGACTCTACAGTCAGGAACTTTGGGGATAGCGTGTCGCCACGGTGGCCCCGGCGACGCGCTATGCTTTGCGAGCGGATAGCATGTCGCTACGTTCCGCGCGGCAAGAGGAGCGAAACTCGGAGCGTGGACCGTGACGGAAAACATCGATGGAGGAACTGAGCGCGGGCGGGAGCCGAATCGGGCCCATTGCAGAACCACCCCTGGTCTCCAAAGCGAGCTCCAAGGTCCCAAAGACATGATCAAGAACGCCCCATAACCTCGTGCCTCGACCCTCGTGGAGGACAAGGAGGATGAGGGCCTCTGAATCTCAATCGGTGCCACTATTCGCTGCACAGCCTGCGGGATATCGTTTCACGCACGCGCGTTTTGGCGCCGTGGGGTCTTAAGTCCAACAAGGAGCCCAAGAGAAGGTTGACTAACTAGAACTGGGGGGTGGAAACTGCACGAGAAAAAGCATAGAGGCAATAAAATGTTGAATGCACTGTTAAACCCTCCGTACGATATACTGATATGCGTCGACGCTTGGGACAAACAGCGGCGACCTCTCCCATCTGGCTCTGGGTTATGCGGGCGATCGAAAAACTTTGGCGGGGACAAGGACCAGCTCTGGCGACCACAGGATCACGGGGACCAGAACTGTCCAATCACCAGAAAACTGTAGATTCGTCAGGGAGACACAGTCGCTGTCTGACCTGACGGGCGCACGACGCGGCGGGACGCGGGCTCGACCTTTGTAGCGGGTAGCTCGCTCGGGTTCTTGAAAGCGGCGCTGGACGACCCCACGCGCGTGAGTGATGATTGCGTGAGTTCTCTCGCGCCACATTGGGTATGATGTTGGTGACCTCGGGCCGCAGACGTGATGCTTGAAATCCGGTCCGCAGACTCAGGCATGGCGATGACACCGGGGCCACGTGAAGGGCGACATGGAAGTGCAGTGCCTTGACCTGGTAGGTGAAAGGGAAGGTGATGGATGGCGATAGACCCGGAGGGATGCGCGTACTTTTTGGCGCGATCGCCTCGAGGCCCACCGCGGTCACGATCCGCGGGGGCCGCTCCGATCACGACCGCCGGAGGCGGCATCCTCGCTGGTTGCGCCGGGGTCGGCACTCCCCGTGGGTGAGGGCTGCTGCGGCTCGCCGGCGCCAGCCGCGCAGAGAGCCGCGCCAGCGCGCCGTTGCTTGACCTTCTCCATAGACCAGCGGGCCTTTTTCTTCGAAAGTCGGCGGCGTCTTGTGGCATGCCCTCGCTCTTGCTCTCGTCCGTGTTCTTTGAAGGGCGCCCAGGACACACAAATAAATACACACAAATAAATGTATGCCCCATATTTTCCCATATTTTCTGGGTTTCTGTCTTCCCCCCCACTTCCCATATTTTCCCATATTTTCTGAGGGATCGAGGATTAATTGTGTCTGTGTGTTTCTTTTCCTCCTGACTCTTGCCCTTGCCCTTGCCAGCGACCGAAGCAGCGCGCCCTCGAGAGCCGACGGGCGCCGCGGCTTCTGCCCTCGTACAGAGTGGGCGCGGGGTCGACGGACGAAGTGGCGCTGGTCTCCCGCCCAAGCAGCGAGCAGCGCCGGACTCGTCGCAGCCTGCCTCGCGAGAGGGTGGCTGAGGCTGGGCCTCTGGAGAGAGGTTGCGGCGAGATGGGGCGCGCGGCGCGCGCTCGCCCTGAGGTGGCGGGGGGCGCGATGGCCGCGGCGACAGCGCCGCTGGCGCCTCTTGTAGCCGAGCGGCCTGGCCTTGGAGGAGGGCGCTCCGAGAGACGCTTCGTCGCGGGCGGCGAACAGGCCCTAGCCAGAACCCAGCCGCGAGCCGACGTTGGTGAGCGACCAGTGACGGCGACACTCGGCCCTCTCTCGAGGGCTCCACGAGCTCCACAGGTTGCACAGCTTGGCCGCGCACATCACGAGACCGATGCTGAGCGGAACGCTCGCGCAGTGCGACCGCGCGTCGTTCCGCCAGCACGTGGCCCTGCAAGCCTCGACCGCGAACATGGAACGCAACTCCGGCTCCACGACGCCCATGAAGTGGAGGCCCTGGAGGAGCAGCAGCTCGGGGGCTGGGTCAACGGCGTGCCACTGCCGCACGAACTGCACCACGACCTCGTCGCCTTGGCTGAGCGGCAAGGGCAGAGCACCCTCCGAAAGTGCTGAGGCTGGCGCGTCGGGAAGCGGTGGAGCGCTCAGAGGACCCGGCGCGAGCGCAGATGCCTCGCTGGCGGGCATCAGCCGAGCATGAAACACGGCAGCCACACGGCGCCTGCGCTGAGACGGCGGGCGAGAGCGGGGCCGAGGCCCTCGAGCCCAAAAATGATCTCGAGGAACAGAGGAGGTTGATATCGCGCGCCTTGCTCCATCGGGCCGCTGCACCCGACGCTGCAACTGTCGTTATTGCGACCTGCGCGGCGGAGGCATCATCGGAAGCAGTTGAGAA